GCGTGTGTGTGTGTGTGTGTGTGCCGGAGGGTGGGGGGAAGCAGCACTCACCTGAAGGCTGTGTCGGAATGAGCTGCGTTGTAAAGCCACTTAATTTAAATACCAATTCCATTTTTACAACGTCTGCAGGACTGTAGCTTTCAAACTGTGTGTGTGTGTGTGTGTGTGCCGGAGGGTGGGGGGAAGCAGCACTCACCTGAAGGCTGTGTCGGAATGAGCTGCGTTGTAAAGCCACTTAATTTAAATACCAATTCCATTTTTACAACGTCTGCAGGACTGTAGCTTTCAAACAGCAAAGGGCAAAGAAAGATTTTTAAGCAAGCAAGCAAGCAAACAGCAATGAGTAAAAGTCCGCTTTCTCTTGTCTTTTAACAGGATGGTACTGGGGCAACATGAGCGTTGCTGAAGCCAAAGAGAGATTACAGGATGCCCCTGAAGGGACTTTCTTGGTTAGAGATAGCTCACATTCAGAATATCTATTGACTATTTCAGTAAAAACATCAGCAGGACCAACCAATCTACGTATAGAATATCAGGATGGCAAGTTCAGGCTGGACTCTATCACTTGTGTCAGATCTAGACTTAAGCAGTTCAACAGCGTTGTGCATTTGATTGAGTACTATGTGCTTATGTGCAAGGACAGAACCGAAACGCCTTCAAATGGAACGGTTCATCTGTACTTGAACAAACCCCTCTATACGTCAGCTCCATCTCTGCAACATCGCTGCAGAATAACTATAAACAAATGTACAAATCAGATCTGGGAACTGCCATTACCAACAAGACTAAAAGAGTACTTGAAAGAGTACCAATACCAGGTATAAATATCTTTTCTAAACGCCTCTAATACAGAGTAACTTTTGAATGCAATTCTTAAAATCAGCCAAAGAACTGAGTAACCAGTTGTACAAGTCAGCATGGAATTCACTATCAAAACAGTGGCAGTTCTGGGGGAAAGGGTTTTATTTCAGATGCCACAAAGGAAGACTTTATGTAGAATAATCGCAGTCTGCATCTTCAGGGGTTCGACAAGGTGGCGTGCTAACCTGTGAGGAGAGAGAAGCCAGATCGTGTTGCTTTGTCAATGGCATAAAATACTGCACTAACTATCAAATGCTAGCTGAAGCGGTGGGAGGGGGAGAGACTGCAAAAGTGGTCAAAGGCGTATCAGAGTGCATAAGTATCTCAGTTGTCTGATTCCAAGACTAATTTGGTGCTGGTGTTCGTATAATCCTGAAAACTTAACTGGATCACACTGTGATAATCTTGCCAAAGTTATGCAGCTAATCAAATGCAGTCAAAAAAGTGATCATCTATTCTTTTTTTTATTGAACTATAACCCTCGTGCTTTTCTGCAAGAAAAGGAGTGCTGTAAGTAATCCGTTTAAAACATTGTTTTCCAGAGTTCTCTAAAAATTGGTTTTAAGGCGAAATCACACATCTTTCGTAGGAACCCAGTATATGTTGCTGATTATACCAGATTGGTATCCCAGAATCTTTGTTAACATGTTAACATCTTCCCAGAAGTGACATATCCGTGTTATTACTATTAAGCTTCTTTTGGTTGAGGCTTTAGGACTCTATGCTGCAGGCTTGCAGTTGCTCTGTTCCAGTGTCGAGACATGGATATCAGCAGTTACAGCTGTCTTCTACAGTGTAGAATGTTTTCTTCAGCTTGTTTCCCAAAATATGGGGAAGTCTGGATTTGGGGGGGTTTTTTTGAGGCTGTTTGTTTTTTTCTAATTCACCATTGTAGCTACCAGACTATTACTCAATAAAGTAAACCAAATTGCACAAATATCTCGACCTTTGTATGTATGGATTTGCTACTGTTCATGCAACAGTGATCCTATGTACCTATATTCTTTCCCAACTAATACTCAAATAAGCGTACACATATCATCAGTGATGAATACCCATACGTTGCCTTTGCAGTGCTGCTCAAAGGTATAATGGGGATTATATTTGGATTAGTAGTTTAGAGGCTGCCTGCTGAATTCCCATTGTTAAGCGTTAGCACAGAACATCATTTTTTGTATTATAGCAGTCCTCCAAGTGGGAAGATGGGACTAAGACCCTTGTGTACCCACTCCTCAAGTCTAAATGAAAAGTATTTAATAGAAGAAAAATCCAGGATGGGAATAACATGAGAGTAGTCAAGAGAGAAACCAGGGCATAGATTCATTCTCAATCAACAATTTCACAGTTTTTCTTTCCCTAGCTTATTTTAATTAAAGCAAATAGACCTGTGTTTAAACAAGGAGGGTTGTCAAGACTTGCTGTGATCTAGCCCTGCCCAGGCTGAAATAGAAACAACAGAAAATAATCTTCTTGTTTTCCTTAACTACTCTGTACTACCGTCAAGATGCCGTGTCACTACTCATAAACTCTGAGGCAATGAGCAGCTTATTTTGTTGCATTTAAACTTTTAGTGTTATGCATTCAGTTCTGTCATAAGCACGCTGGCAGCAAGGAGTAGCTCTGCTGCTGAGACAGGGAAAACACCAAGAATTTGAGGCAGAGGGGATGGTGCCTTGATATGGCAAATAGTGGGTACGCTGCTGTTCCCTGTATGGGAAATGTGGCTTTTCTTTCTCTTCCTCCACAGCTTCAATTTTCTTAACCTCCTTTTAATGCAAGCTTTAATATGGAGATGGGTTAGTGGGAAGTTTTCTCCTGAAAAACAGAACAAAAGCTTTTGTTATGTAAATTTTTTTCCCATGCCCTGCCAAATGTAGCAGACTGTTGGAAGTTTTTCCCCATAATGTGGTGAGCACCCTCTGATTCCCGTTCCAGAAGAGCTCTTGTATTCCAGGTATGTGTCATAATCACATGATTTTCCTGCGCTTGTCATCTGTCTTGCTAGGAACTTCCACCCAGGAGCCAAGGAACTTTGCCTGTGAACGGTGCCAGGGAGAGAACTAGATTCCTGGGAATGCTTTTGTTCTCATGAATCTATTCTCTTGCAGTTTTTGTCTAGCTCTACCTTGAGAGGACATAGCTATGATACGGAATAATTTCTTTTACAGTAAGCAAACACATTAACCCACTGCTATGTTAACCTTGTATTACTGGGCATTTTTAGCAAAGGCTATCACCTTTGCCTAAGGTGATGCCTAACCTTAGTTAGCCATGACGTACCTGGGGTCTCAGTGGTGAAAACGTTGCATTAAAAAGTTCCCTTAAGGCTAGCCCCTGGCCAAAGGACAGTAAAGTAAAATTGGAAATACTAACAGTGGAACAAGCAGACTGAGAAGAGGAGAGCTTTGGGGTATGGTGAGACACTTGTGTCTTACCCACACTGTAAGACACAGGGACTGAGGGACAGCTCATTGCCGACTGCTTGCAGGCAACGCAGACAAAGGCAGCATCCACCTCCACCAGCAGAGCCATCCTCTGAGGCACGCTATGGGGCAGATAAAGGGTAGCTCGCTGGGATTTTTGTTAGATTTTTATTGTTTTCCAAAGTACCAGGGGAAACGGCAAACTAAAGACAAGGAGTGCTGGTGGAGTGAAAGGGGCAATTCGCATAATTAATGGAGAGTAGCTACCACAATGTGGCATCAAGTCACGAAACATTCGGCATGCCGACTTGTCCTTTGTGTTAGTTACTGTGGAGGAATGCATAGAGTCTGTAGCTACGATGTACTTGAAGCAATGAACAATATTTTGAACAGACTGGAGGGGGAACTAGTCCTCTTTGTATGAAAGCATAGTTCTTGTCTCTGTTAGGATGCCAGCCCTAGGGTTGATGCGTTAACGCTAGTAAAACTAAATCTTACTGTAGCTTGCTGCAAGCTCTGCTTCGTTCTCATGCAGCACAGAGGAATGAATTGTTCCAGAATAAAAATCCTGGGATAGCACAAGGGATTAGATTACAGTAGTGCAAAAATCTTGTGTGTAGAGCCTGTGAATTTTTAGGGCATGATCACATTGTCCAAACATTTTTAAAAATGATCCAGTGCTTTTTTGACTTGTGGATGTTGCTGAGGCTTGTTCAAAGCACTAGCTTTTATATCACTCGCCCTTCAGATTCCAAAAATGACTTCTAACTGATATGTGTCATCTGGAACTGCTAGCACAGACTGTTCAGCGAAGCTGGTCTCAAGCATACAACAACTGTCAGTTAAGATACCAAAAATCCTGATAAGGACTTTGACCCTAAGGCTTCCTCCTTCCCTTCCCTTCCCTCCCCCCCCCCCCCCCCCCCCCCGTCGCGTTT